CAAATAACTTTTACATTAATAGAATATTTTATTCAGAGGAAGAAAACAGAAAAAGCGAAGTTCACATCTGATCAGTAAATTACATCAAAGAGAAGAAACTTCATCCTAGGACCAGGAACCAATGACGGGGAAAAAGAGCTGGAAGAAGAAAACACAATGCCACAATTACTATTTGTTCTTAAGGTTTCGTAATGAGCTGTGATTTATCCAATATTATGTATAATGTCGCAGAATGGAGAAAGTAAGTTCGAAAGGACTCACAGTGGCTTCACTCTCCTGAAGGCCGCACGCTCTCGAAGATGCCAGCTTCCCTCATGGCGTTGAACTCTTTGACTGAGTCGTAATTTTTGTAGAAATCAGCGTAGGCCTTTTTCCTGGGCTCCGTCACTGTGTACTGCAAGACAAAAAAAAAATAAAATTTTTTATTCACAGCTTCAATCAAAACCTATAAAGAACTAAAATAGTTGAAAATGTCAGAATCGAGTTTCAGTGATTAATTTTGAAGGACGTAGCCGCGTGTGTGTGCGCGCTGTACTCACCTTGAACAGTATCGCAGCCCCAAAAGCCAGAGCGAAAGAGATGGGCAGGTGAAACCTCAGACGCTTTGCCAGCATCCCCCTCATCACAGGCTTTGGCAGAGACATGGTGGATTACCTGCAGAGAGGACGAGGCACCGATTAAACTTTAAAATCAAATCTGAGTCGTGAAAACATAAACGTACAGTCCAAGTTTCATGTCCTCTCTTACTGCATGAGACAGGGATGCACTGGGATCAGATGACATTACGATACTGACTCAAGTAACTGGATCAAAGATCTGTTTACTAAATACATTGAGTCAGCAGAAGGATAATAACAATGACTATTTGTATAGCACGTAGCAAATGGAGCTAAAAGCAAAGGGTCAGTTTCGATTTCTTTTCACTCTCATCTTTTAATTCAACGACTGTTTGCATCGTCCATCGTCTCGATGGTTATCTCAATTATAACACAACTTAATCAAGCACGTCTACAAGCATCGCACCAGGAAATGTCACGATTTCAAGAAACCCCCCGGTGATAATTGAAAACAAGTTTTAAATACAGTGAACTTTGCCATCATGGAAACATTTTTCTGAGACTACTCTGTACAAAATCCACAAGAGAAATGAGAGGATGAACCCGCAATGAGCTTCACCACAGAAATCTGGAGCGCTGACGTCTAAACATTGTCACTTGAGTTTAACAGAACACTGGACGTAAACAAGTGTGGTGTCATTTTTTACGTTATATTTCGTAAGTCAAAAAATGGAAAGCATTAAAGTTTAAGTTGAGCCCAACGTTCCCTTCCAGGAAACAGAATGACGACAGCTTCTTCCTCACACTGAGTCATACGGGGTTGTAATCAAACACTAGACTCACAAAGGACTTCTTATCTTCGTATCAGATCAGTTACTCTGTACCTGCCAAACACAAATCCAAGTCTTAGTAATGAGACTGAAAAAGACAAGATTGTGTTTTTAAAGAGTCTGAAGCTTGTGTGATAATCTAATCCAGTTCGACGGGTCTGTGTCAAGTGGTTTTAGATCTGGAACTGGTCCAAAGTGGTTTACGTGAGTGTGACAGGCCTCAATGAGCAAAAAATACATTGAAGGAATAATATAAAGTGGATTTTAAACATTGATTAGACTTTGATTGAAATGACTGAAACCATGTCATAGCAGTGACATTAGACAGAAACCGATTCAGCGTCATCATTAATTCAGTTCATCCTTCACTGCTGCATAAGTTAGTTTAATAATCCAGTGACATGTGTGAACTGTTTCACTGGAGAAGATGTCAACCAGTGTTTGCACGTGTTGTTATTTTGTCCAGATGACGTGTTTTCTATCTAACACAACTATTGACTCAGTTTCCTGAACTCAGCTCAGCACAGATCATATAAACACACGAGTTAACTCGAGCAGGAAACTGTTAAATATAATGTGAATACAATAATATGACATGTTAAAACACGCCATCGGTCCACCAGCTGAGCTGCAGGGTCAAATCAGCACGAAGTCATCACGACGACATGTCGGGCCTCGACTCTTTGCGTCGCGTTGGTTTGACTCAGCGCCGAGAAACGAGGTGGAAAACCATCAGAACACCATTGAATGTGACGTTAAACATTAATAATGAACCTGGAGCGTCAGAGAGCGACGGCACGAGAGGACGCTCGCTAGCTCGGTGAAGCTAAGTGCTAACGAGCCGCAGACGCTGGAGGCAAGAGGGCGAAATTAAAGACACCGGGTCAGATCCCGGAGTCAGGGTCAGGTTAGTACACGGAGAGGTCGCAATGAGAATCCAGGAGAGAGTTTAGAACCGGACCAGACGGAGGAATACTCACGGGTTGGACTCACGACCTTCACTTAAACCGCTAACGCACTGCTTCTCTACCGGAAGAGCTGCTACTGGAGCCGCAGAGGGACAAAACACATCCGGTCCAGAGGAAAGCGAAGCGAGGGGAGTTGAGGACATGGTGGAGAGGACAGGTTTAAACTCTATATACTCA